ATGTCCGGCTGCTGGGTTTGTGTGATTTTCGGTTAGTACTCTCTGTCTCTCTTGTTTTGGCACGCACAGTTTCCAGGGTTGATCGTCTTCGTCGGTTTGGCTTGGTATGTGTCGGTATAATCTTCCGTGTTTTATGGTATAATCCGTAACTTCCTTTGGTGTCATCTCTACTTGGTTCCATTTGGTTTGATACCAAGCGCATTCTACGATTTCCGCTATTCGGGTTTCTTCGCGTGGTAAGCGGGAGAGTCCGTCCGCCACTGCGTTCAACTTGCCTTTTCGATATCGTATTTCGAATGAAAATGGTTGCAGTCCCAATGCCCATCTTGCTACTCGTCCTGATGGGCTTTCGATGGAATTTAACCATTTGAGGGCTAGGTGGTCGGTAATTACGATAAATTGATAGCCTTCTAGGTACATCCTCATATTGTGTATACCCCAGTAGATGGCTAGGCATTCTTTTTCCGTTGCGGAGTATTTGGTTTCCTCGCTTTTGAGCTGGCGGCTTGCCTAGGAAATTACATGTTCTCCGTCCGCATCTTCCTGGGTCAACACCGCTCCTAGGCCGCAGTCACTTGCTGTTCTTTTGTGCTTCGCCCCACTCAAATTTCTGTCCCTTTTTAATAGGTCTTGTAGAGGTTTTGCTCGTTCGGTGTACACTGGTACGAATCTGCGGTACCAAGATGCCAGGCCCAAAAAACTATGCAGCTGTTTCAGTGTAGTTGGTGCGGTGAGTTCTTTAATGGCCGCCACTTTGTCTAGGTCTGTGTGTATTCCTTCCTCGCTCACCATGTGTCCTAGGCATTTAAGTTTCTTTTGGAAAACGTGGCATTTTCCTGCGTTAATGCTTAGGTTTGCTGTCCGTAGTCGTTCGAATACCGTTTGTAGTTTCTGCATGTGTTCAACTTTCGTCCGCCCAATTACGATTATGTCGTCTAGGTATGCGAAAGCGAATGGTTCCATGTCCGGTCCGATTACCGAGTCTAGGGCTCTTTGGAACGTAGCAGGTGCTGTTGTGAGCCCGAATGGCATGGCTTCCATTGGTACAATCCTCAGCCGGGAGTTGTATAGGCTGTGTAGTGTCGGCTCTGTTTTTCCATTGGGATTTGCCAATACCCTGACTTTAAGTCGAGCGTACTAATGTATTTAGCCTCTTTAAGCTGATTTAGAATAAAGTCCATCAGTGGTAATGGGTATGCATCCTTCTGTTTTTTCGTTTAACAGTCGGTAGTCCACGCAGACCCTCCAATCTCCAGTTTTCTTTTTTATGAGGACAATCGGGGAGCTGTATGGGCTGTGTGATGGTTCTATTAGATCTTGCTTTATGAGTTCGCTGATCTCTTTGTTGATGATTTCCATTTGCGCTGGGTTTCTTGGGTAATACCTCTCTTTGACTGGTCTGTCATCTTTCAGAAATATCCGATGTTTCGTAATATTGCTCACCCCTTCAAGAGTGTTGGATTTCTGTACTTGCGCTTTCCTCCTTTCTCTTTGGATTTGGTTCCCCGTTGAAGTTTACTGTGGCTTCTCCGCACGTTATTGATGTGCCTGCATCCTTAAAGAATTCCATTCCTAGTATGGGGGGGTCTGGAACCCCTGTCATGATTAGGAATGATTGGCTGGTTTCTGTTCCCCCTAGTTCTACTGTTAGTTGGATTCTTCGTGTTGTTCTCCGAGTGCTTCCATCCGCGAGACGGATTAATCTGTTTTCCACTCCTTCGATACCTTCTCGTTTTAGTTTTTCGGCCGCCTTTCGTTCATCATGCATCTTGTTGCCCCTGAATCGATGATTACTTCCATCAGTTTTGATCCAATCCTGGCCCGTCCTAAAAGTTGGTTCTTGTTAAATATTAGTTGTGTGTTGTCCCGCTCAGCTGGTTCTGGGCCACAGGAGATTCGCGGGTTGGTCCTGCTCCCTGTGTGTTTTCCGGTTGTTTTCTGCAGCAGTCTTTTGTGCGTACTCCTTGTTTGTTGCAGGTCCAGCAGTACAGTACGGGTTCCCTGCTGCATGTTCGGGCCTCGTGCCCATAGTTTCCACATCTTTGACATCTCCTTTGTCGGTATTGCGTTCTTTGCCATGCTGGTTGGTCGTTTTGTGGGTAATTCCATTGGCGACCTGTAACCTTGGAGAGTCCTGCATCTGTCTCTATTTTTTCGAATTCTTCTGCGATGATAATGAATTCCGACAGCGTTTGGAATTCTCTCCTCTTCACGTATAGTTTCAGCGGCAGCCGGCAGTTCTGGTATATTATTTCCAGTTTTTCCTGCTCTGTGTAGGTTCCGAACCTCATTAATTTCCTTATTTCTTGCATATAGTCTCGAACTGGTTCTGTTTCCGCTTGTTTACGCTCTGCCACTTGTTTTGCAAGCTCCTCTTGGTATCGGGGGATATAAAGATTTCTTTTAGTCCGACCTTTGCTTCCTCCCATGATGTGACTGGCGCGGGCTTTATGTGCCACCAGTCTAGCGCGCTTTCTTCCAGGATTACCGGCATTGCGAATACGAGGTGGTCCGGTTCTACCCCGTAGGTTTCTGCTAATTCCTCCATCCTGCTCAGGAATTCTAGCAGCCCTCCTTTTCCTGAAAAGATCAGGTCCCACTTGCGTATTTTTTCTATTATCGCTACTGCGGTGATCCTTTCTTTATCTGTTTTAGAAATAGCGATTTCTTCCTGCCTGTCCTGGTCTCCCCTTGGCTCTCTTTCTTTGTTGATTTTTGTGGTACTCCTTTTGGTGATTGTTGCCTTGGGCTCTTGGTTCTCGGGCTTTTTCCTCGTGTTTGGGTATTTGCTAGTTGTTCTAGCCTCTCTCGAATATGTATTGGGAGGTCTGTTCTCTCCGAAAGTTGTTTCTTTTGGGTCTCTAGTCCGTCCAGTTTCTCCAATCCGAATTCCTCGCAATAGTTCTGTAACTCCAGTTTCGTTGCTTGGTTTATCCATTGTTTTGCCATCTTGACCTTTGAGATTATGCTTCTTATGCTACCACAACCTGCTCGGGCGCCACTGTGACGACGTTTCGGCCGGGGTATGCTCGTCGCGCCGGGTTCCACAGAAATTTGTTTGATCTCTGGGTGTCGTAGCTGAGCGGTAATAAAAGAGATAGTGTTATTTTGATTGTTCTTAAAAAGGTACAAAGTTTGGTAGGTGTGCGGGTTTTTTTTCTTCTGGCTCTTCCTTCGGGGTCGGCTGCCGGGGTCGTCCTTCGGGTTGGCCGCACGTGGCGGATGGTTGCGTGCGGGTCCTGGTAGTCTTCTGGTCGGTGTCGGTTGAGGGCGCGGAGGTCTAATGCGCTCCGAGGAGAAGATTGTTGCGGAGGGTAAATGCGCTCCGAGGAGAAATAATTTTGCGGAGGGTGAATGCGCTCCGAGGAGAATAAATGTTGCGGAGGGTAAATGCGCTCCGAGGAGAAATAATGTTGCGGAGGTTAAATGCGCTCCGAGGAGAAATAATGTTGCGGAGGGTGAATGCGCACCGAGGATAAATAATGTTGTAGTATGTGCATATATTGAGTGTACACTGTACCCAATGGTTAACAATAAATGTATCAGCAACACATTGTTGCAGTACCCAAACAAAAACACTTCAAGTGAGCGTGCAATATGATCGCCGCTTATGCGCTAAGCTAAGTCAGCATTCCCACTTGAAGCATATACATATAGTGACATATCCATAATTCCCCACATCCCATACACATTATGTTTATGTACAATTCATCCACCCCATCCACACAAGTAACAGGACCCCACTCAAGAATCAATAACTGTTTCTTCCCATACTCCAAGCTAGGGCCCCCCATAATATAAACAATGGACCACATTGTTTCAGCAACATTAGAATCACGCCACTCTCGAGAAATCGATTCTTTAGAATCACGCCACTCATGAGGACCAATCAAAGCTAGACATAAAACCAAGGAGTATCACATTCCTAGCTCCGTCATGTAATGCAACACCGATCGCCAGCAGTGGATGCCTTTCATCAAAGCCGACGCATCCCCAAATATCGATCCAGGCACGTACGCCACCGACACGAAGATGCAGCCGAGGAAAGCAACGCCCGAAGCCAGAGTCGGGAGTTCCAAGAGAAGGGCTCATGGAAACTAGCCAGCAGCAGAGAGATCAGTTCCGTTTGAGACAAGCAGACCGAAAGTCAAGTCGGGGAATTCATTTAAATCTTGTGACATAAAGATATTTAAGTTGTAAAATAAAAGTCTTTGTTAAAAAACTTAAAATCGAGTTGCGGATATTTAACTGGCGCAGTCGGTAGGATTTCGTTTAAAATTAACACCTATATTTCGGTAATGGTCAGCTTGTGTAATTTATAATTACTGTGATCACGTAATCCCGGAATTGTTAATAAAATTGTGAAATCCGCCAAAGAACCTATGTGCTGCAAGCACATACGATTTGCAAAACTAATTTAAGTGAACTGAAGTAAGCGGAGATAGTGAATCACCAAGCACAGTGAAACACTTAATACAAAATCAAAAAAACTTACAAGTGAACCAAAATAAAGTTAAAAACTACAACAAAACAAAACCCAATCAACACCAACAACATGGCGTTACCACCACTATCATTGAGCGAAATCCACTTGAACCAGGCACTGCTGTCGATCCGACAAATACCTGCCTATGACGGTTCATCTGGACAGCTAAGCTCATTTATCAAACGAATCGAATATGTATGCGGATTATATCCAACTGAAGATCTTCGCCAACAAAGGATCCTATTTGGAGCGACCGAGATCCAACTGTCAGGAGAGGCACAACGCATATCGCAAATGATACAACCCAACACGTGGCTCGAACTGAAGACGGCGCTGATCAACGAGTTCAAAAATCACACACCATATGAAGAACTCTTACGACAACTATACACCACCAGATTCAACGGCAGTCTTCGTAAGTTTATAGAAGAATTAGAGATAAAAGCATTATATCCTATCGACAAGCCCGCGGTCACACTGGTGTTTTGTTTTTGATGCGTTGCGAAGCAACAATTTCTTTGATTTTAAAAGTTTTTTATAGACTGTAAACCGATTTCTACTTCTGCTGTGCGTGACGTCACTTGCAAGGCTTCAAGATGAATTACGGAAGGAAAACGCCCTCCACATATCGCTCCAATCCCTCGGTGTACTCCCATGCCACGGGAAGATCCTCGACAAATCTGCATTCCAAGATGTCGCGTTCGACGCGGTCTGTGCGGATTCCTTGGTACCAGCGGCCGCTGCTCAAAAACAATCAGTATATTGATATACAAAAGGGTGCCATGCTCATTGGCTTATTTGCCATTTTCCTTTCACTGTTTACCATTGCCTCGAGCGTCTTTGATATCTACTGCTATGCGATGGCCGCACCTGGGTCCACGCATTATGGGTACTATATCATATCGTATGAGTTTGTCTATGTGGGAAATAAGCATGTGCGCAACATGTTGATTGTGTTTGCCCTGTTCTCCCTGATCATGGCACTCATTAACTTTGTGACCAGCGTGCTGCTGTGCGTGGCCCTCCGAAAGGAATACGAGCGGAAGGTGATGCCCTGGCTGTGGACCTTTGCCGTGTTCACGGTCTGGCGCGCCCTGGCGCTGATCTTCTTTGCCATTGTCAATGACTTGTACTTTGCCTACAATGTAATAATGGTGATGCTGTGGAGCATCTTCTGTTTGCTCTCGATATATGGCTGGGCCGTGGTCTATTCGCTGTTCCTGGAACTGGTGGATCTCACCAAACTAGAGGATTTGGCTCATTTACGCATGGGTACAATGGCGTCGCTGCATGCCTCCACAGCTAATTCCCTCGCTGGTTCACGTCCCACAACTCCTCATAGCACCGTATCCACAATGCCCGTTGGCTAGGAATCGTATTCTCTATATGAGATAGATCACAACGAAATTGCACAAACCAGACCGTCCAAAAGCTGCACCAGACTATCCCCGATGCGCTTTGTTTCCACCAACATTTAAATATTTAAACGATTGTACATTCCATCCACCAGTATAGTGCCTTAGAGATGCGTCTATCGAATACCACAAATTATTTACACGAATCTGCATAAATAGTTCTTAAGTTTTGTTCCGTCCAACCGATGCAAGATGCAATGTTTTTCTAATGCTTTTCTATATTGTTAAAGAATCTCTCTGCCTTTATGTATGACAACATATCATGTTTTTTATATACATATACTATGTACAACCCGAATAGTAGCTATATTTGTACCGAAAGTAGTACTTTCGACAAGCGACAAGCAATTATAAAAAAAAACAAAATTATTAATAAACAATAAGCTAAACTTAGAAAACATACCAGAAAATAATGTCATTTATAAAAACGCTTTGAACAACACAATTAAAGATGTCATTACTCGAAAACTTCCTGACAGAATGTTCATGACCTTAGCAAGAAAAGATATTACCACATTGTCTAATCTTAAGAAGGCAGCACAAGAAGAAGGATTGTACGAAGCTAGTACAACAGATTCAGGTACAAATAAAGATCAATCGAAATCGTCTCAATCAAATCGAAAGAATGTTGGAAACTATTATCCAAATTATAATACTACTAACTATCACAATCAAACTCAGAGTTCATCTGGAACAGGTCAGACTAATCGAACAAATCAAAATCAAAATTCCCAAAATCCTGGATTATACAATGAGTTCAAAAATTCCTTGAATCAAGGTAGGGCTCAGAATCCATTCAATCAGCAAATATCTCAAAACCAAGCTAGTGGGAGTGGACCCAACCAACCTACTAAAAGAGGGAGGGAGAGCCAGAGTGGCCAAACGAAGATGGACGTAAATTTTCATCAAGCCGCCTCGGAAGAAACCGAGGAGGACCCTATATAAACATTACCATTAATAAAAGAATATTAAGGTGTATCGCTGACTCGGGATCATCGATCAACATCATGAAAGAAAATTACACAGATTCCGAGATAAAAGACGATAACCTTACGGTCCATACCATCAATGGACCTGTCCGTTTAACTAAGAGTATAATGAGGAATGCGAACAAAACATGTCCGTCCGAACAAAAGTTCTACATACATAACTTTTCCGAAAATTATGATATTTTATTAGGAAGAGAATACTTGATGGCAAGTAAAGCCGTCATCGATTACAGAAATGACACTGTAACACTAGCAGCTAGGTCGTACCCAATCATTCAGAGTGGAGAAGCTATTGAAGCCGGCAAGACCGCACAGAAGTGCACTGATCCCTCTACAAAAGAAGAGAAGATCGCACCTAAGTGCCTTGACCCATCTCCAGAGGGAGATCAATACTTCGCTTCCGCTCTAGACAGTGAATTAAGGGAATGTAATCAATTAAGATTGGAACACTTAAACGACGAAGAGAGGGAAGAGTTAAAGAAGGTCTTATATGAGTTTAAGGATGTGCAGTACAGAGAAGGTGACAATTTGACTTTCACAAGTACAATCAAGCACGAGATCAAAACTCAACATGAAGACCCGGTCTACAGACGACCATACAAATATGCCCAGATACATGATCAGGAGGTAAACCAGCAAATCAAAGATATGATCAGGCAGGGAATAATTCGAAAGTCGAATTCTCCTTACTGCTCGCCCATATCTATGATTCCGAAGAAGATAGATGCTTCAGGAAAGCAAAAATATCGAATGGTAGTAGACTATAGAAGTCTAAATGAAATAACAGTTAAGGACAAATTCCCAACTCCAAGAATGGATGAAATCCTAGACAAACTAGGTAAATGTCAGTATTTTACGACAATCGATTTAGCAAAAGGTTTCCATCAAATACCCATGGAACCTAGCTCAATCCCCAAAACTGCGTTCTCCACTAAGCATGGACATTACGAGTTCACTCGTATGCCCTTTGGGCTAACCACTGCCCCAGCTACCTTCCAAAGATGTATGAACAATCTGCTAGAAGAGTTAATCTTCAAAGATTGCTTTGTATACTTAGATGACATCATTATATTTTCCACTTCATTGGAAGAACACTTGTTGTCACTAAGGAGAGTATTTGGAAAGTTGAGAGACGCCAACTTGAAGCTACAAATGGATAAATGTGAATTCATGAAAAAGGAAACTGAATTCCTAGGTCATGTAGTCACTACTGAAGGAATAGTACCAAATCCAGGCAAAATCTCTGCCATTGTCAAATTTCCAATACCAGAAACGACTAAACAAATAAAGTCATTCTTAGGTCTGTGCGGGTTCTACAGGAAATTCATTCCTAATTTTGCAAACATAGCAAAACCCATGACACTCAAACTAAAGAAAGGAGCTGTCATAGACCCCAAGGAAGAAAGGTACGTCGAGGCATTTGAGAGACTAAAAGTACTCATCACCTCAGACCCTATCCTTGCGTTCCCAGACTTTGACAAAATGTTCACGGTAACAACCGACGCTAGTAACATAGCATTGGGAGCGGTTTTGTCACAAGAACACAAACCGATCTGCTACGCTAGCAGAACCCTAAATGAACATGAAATAAACTATTCAGCCATCGAAAAGGAATTATTAGCGATCGTATGGGCAACCAAGTATTTCCGTTCATACCTGTTCGGTAGAACATTCGAGATACAAAGCGATCATAAACCCTTGATTTGGTTGAACAACCTCAAGGAGCCAAATATGAAATTACAAAGGTGGAAAATAAAACTGAATGAGTTTGATTTTAAAATGAAATATCTACCAGGCAAAGAAAATCATGTAGCTGATGCCTTATCAAGGGTAAAGATTAATGAAAATCTCCTGGGAGAAGCTTCCAATAGCGTTGGTGCAACTGTACATAGCGCACAGGAAGACAATCTAAATCACATTGCTATCACGGAAATACCAATTAACTATTACAATCGGCAAATTGAGCTAATAAAAGGCAATGAAGATAAGGTAGAAACAATTCGTTATTTTCACAAGCTAATCATCAAGATCACGTATAAGGAAATGACTAACACCTTAGCGAAGGATATAATAAAGGAATATCTATGCACCAAAAAGAGCGCATTATATTTCCATAACGAAACAGATTTTCCTCCATTCCAAAAAGCCTATTTAGAAATCATTAATTCTAACAATATAACCAAAGCTATTAAATCAAGCACGAAACTCCTAGATATTCAGAATTACGCTGAATTTAAAGAAACCATATTAAAGAATCATAAAGGCTTACTCCATCGAGGGATAGAGAAAACCGTCAATTGGTTTAGGGGAAAATACTATTACCCGGATTATCAAAAACTAATCCAAAACATCATAAACGAATGTCCTACTTGTAATATTGCCAAAACAGAGCATAGAAATACGAAGTTGGCATTCGAAACTACACCGGAAATACTGAACATCAGAGAGAAATACGTCATGGATTTCTATATGGTTGGTAACCAACAGTTCCTATCATGTATTGACGTATACTCGAAGTTTGCCACTCTTGTAGAAGTAAAAAGTCGTGACTGGTTAGAAGCAAAAAGAGCCATCATGAAAGTTTTTAACGAGATGGGCAAACCAATTGAAATCAAAGCCGATAAAGATTCAGCTTTTATGTGCACAGCATTGCAAGCATGGCTGAATGCGGAAAACGTCAAAATAGAGATCACTTCCAGCTAAAATGGAATATCTGACGTAGAAAGATTTCATAAAACAGTAAATGAAAAATTAAGAATAATATCTAGCGAGGATAACACAGAAGATAGATTCACGAAGTTTGAATTAATTCTTTATACTTATAATCATAAAACCAAACATAATACCACAAATAGGACACCAGCTGATATATTCATTTATGCAGGCTCACCTGATTATGACACACAACTAAATAAAGTGAATAAAATCACTCAATTAAATAAAAACCGCATAGAGTATGAAGTAGATACCCGCTATAAACTATCACCTCTAGTTAAGTCTAAGGTAACAAATCCTTTCAAAAGGACGGGTGAAATTAGACAGGTAGACGAAAAACATTATGAAGAAAAGAATAGGGGTAGGAAAATAACTCATTATAAATCAAAATTCAAGAAAAAGAAGAAATCTAATAGAAGCAAATATAATAATTCCAGAGAAACCGAGGAAGTTAATGGAATCGGCGAACTTCAACACAATTAAAATCCTCATCTTCCTCATAATTACCATCGTAATGGCACAGGGCCAAAACATAGAAATAAATTCTATAAAATCCCAAAACGGATATATGATATTCAAAACTGGATCGATCAACATACCTATCAATTACGAATACCATTATCTAACTGTTAATGTAACTAAAACCGAAGAACTATACCAAAATTTGTTAAGGCAAGCCACTAAATTCCAGGACATAATCCAAATAAAATATCTAGTAGACAAATTGCAAAGAGAAATGAACGGGCTAAAAATAACCAAAAGAAATAAAAGAGGCCTAATCAATATAGTAGGAACAGCCTACAAATATCTCTTTGGAACACTAGATCAGGAAGATAAAGTCGATTTGGAACAAAAAATAGAAAATTTAGCCAGCCATAGCATTCAAATGAATGAACTAAATTTGGTAATAGATGCAGTTAATAGCGGAATAAACGTTATAAACAAACTAAATGAAGAAAAAGACAGGAATCAACAAATAGAAATTTTGATATTCAATCTACAACATTTCACAGAATATATCGAAGATATAGAACTAGGTATGCAATTAACTAGGCTCGGTATATTTAATCCAAAATTATTAAAACAAGACTACCTGGAACAAATAAATTCTGAGAAAATACTAAATATAAAAACCTCCACATGGCTAAAATCCGATACCAACGAAATTCTAATAATTTCCAACATTCCCAAAGACATTACAAAAGTACCAATCTATAAAATCGTTCCGTATCCAGACGAATTAAATAACATGTTAACAGATATGACATACGACAAGTACTACATAAAAAATGAAGAAGTATTTGTTAAAGAAACTAGATTGAAAACCAATGACAATTGTATAAAAGGAATTTTAATGCAAACTCCCACTAAATGTCCATATTCCAAAACTTTTCAAAACTTTCAAATAAACTTTATTGAACCCAATATACTAATCACGTGGAATCTTCCAAAAACAACGCTAAATCAGAATTGTGTAAACCAAGAAATCATAGCGGAAGGAAATACCATTATAAAAATCTACAACTGTTCAATCCAATTAAATGAATTTACAATATCAAACACAATGTTAGATTTTGCCCAGAATGTTTATGTCAACAACAACATAACTAAAATAAAACCACTGTCGTATGTCCAA